AGCTCAAAAAGGTACGGGGAATCGTCACCCAACAATTATTTTTAGGGAAAAATACAGTTATTTTGGAATTATTATTACAATTATTACGTTATTATTATGTATTTTTTCCTAAAAATAATTGTTGGGTGACGATTCCCCGTACCTTTTTGAGCTTGCCGCTCCTTAAATTTGTCAGAAATTTGCGATTTTAGGAACCTCTGCCACTATAAAAAATTCTAATTTTTTTAATCAAATGTTCTTCGTTTGTGGGAGGTTAATTTAAGATAATTCAAATTTTGTGCGGAAATTTATTCAATTTATGAAAAATGAAAGAAAAATGTTGGGTTCCGGGGAATCGTAACTTTTGCGTAAGAGGGTACCGGGGAATCGAAGCCCGCTAAATCCTGCGACAAGTGGGTTCCGTTTCCCTGTAACTTGCATAACTAAAAAGTCCAGGGAATCGGAACTTTTGGGTGACGTTTCCCAGGTACTAACAATGAGATGGTGTGAAGTGTAACCCTCCGATTTCGCTGAAATTTCGAAATTATGTGGTCCAAGGCAATACAACCAAGATTTCTTGAGGCAGTTTGTGCGATGGTCAGAAATTGGCAAAATATTTGAGGTTAAAGTTGAAAAATGTGAAATTTTTAGCACGGGAAGGGAATAGAAGTTGAATTTGCTTCCTCCACCTGGTAAAAATCGCCCTTTTTCAAGTTTAACCTCAAATATTTTGGCAAATTCTGACCATCGCACAAACTGCCTGAAGAAACGTTGGTTGTATTGACATGGACCACATAATTTCAAAGTTTCAACCAAATCGGAGGGTTACACTCCACACCATCGCATTTGTAAGTTCCAATCCCCCGGCACTTGGACCAGACTGCCTGTGGACAAGCTTTATTAAAATACGGTTACAAATTTATTGTAACCTTAAACAAATCGCTGTGCATATTCATTTCAGAAAAGTTGATTTAAAATATGCTCAGTAACGAATTTTCACTGCACTCTCCGAAAAATTGTAACCAGATTATAGCCAAAGTTTAGACGTATATGACTCTACCGGTTTGGTTATAATCAACACCGGAATGGTGTTAAATTGTATTGTCTTCAGCGCGGTGTTAATTATCACCGCAATGTATACCAACCACACCATAATGTACTACGCATGTACAAAATTCCTGTAGTATTCCTTTACTTCATTGGTGATGATTAACACCATAACGGTGACCGACTAGTTTTACGCGGTGATGTTTATAGCCGGTATGTTGTAAATGATTAAGGTTACGGTGACGATTTTGCTTATAAAATACGGTTTTATTTGATTTAATATTAAAATCCCATTGCTACTACACAAACAGATTAATAAAATTCATTTTAAATGGTTAATTACACAGTTTACTAATGCTATACAAAATTATTCTAATAAATTTAAATAAGCTAGAGGTGTTGACGAGCAGATACAAAATTCCCATTAGCTTTACAATTTTGCATAATTTCCATACACTCAAAATAAAAATTTGTCGAATCAACACCGCCGGTGTCAATATATGACTTTACCGCCTTGGTTACAATGTTGAATCCGAGTTATGATGATTTTGATACCGGTAGTTATAATGTTATGACCGGACGGAAAAAACTCATTACTACTCAGAATTACAATTGTAACCAACGCGGTTAAGTCATATATTGACACCGTTTTGTTTTGAGTGTACAATCATGAATTACTAAATCTTTTACATTAATAAGAATAAGACTATTATTGCAATGTGTTACTCTATATGAGAAATAGTGACGGTCAAAATATTCAACCTGTAAGTTTTGAACAAGAAAAAAACAATTATTGTCATCAGTGAGCATAATTTCAGAAATAACCCCAAATTTAGGGAATATATCTCCTATTCCAACACAGACCACAAAATTTAATTTATATATATAATTTCTGAACGAAATCTTATTAAATGTAAAAATTTCAGTTTGCAAGTTGCATTGCTCGAAGCCCGAAATTTTTCTAAGCAGCTCAACTATATCAAACGAGTTTGAAAACTGTGAAAGTTTTGCACAAAATATCTTAATCAGGACTAGTTATAAACAATGAGAATCTTTCATCGATCAAGCACTTCTTAAAATTAATATTTCTTACCTTGTGAAATGTTATTATACGCCCCTTTGCTCCGTCAATTTTGCATCTTCCGCCTTTCCCCTTCCCTTGTGCGGTTGGGGGAATGAGATGTAACAAAATTAACAAAGCACCAATTTTCTTGTCCCAATTACCTACGCAAATTAATAATACATGTGAGAAGGGTATTTCAAACGGATTTCTAATGCACGTAAATTCGTAACAAAATTTGACATTACTAAATTCATCAGCTAGGAATTTCAAAAGGGATGGAGACTTGCTTATCTCCCGTGCGATTTTAATAATCCCTTCTGCCAAAGCGGGCCACTTCTCAAGAAAATTGTTGCTTTCATTTTCATGCATCAAGAAAAACTCATAATTGATCTGAAAGAATTTAAATTATTTTATAATATAAGCTGTCATTTAAAATTAATTAATATACAAGTTACTAACCATAAAATCACACTCGGCAAATTTAGTGTAAGTCTTTAATATGGAATTGTCGCCTACAGATCGCAAGTGATTCCTGTGACCAATTGTCTTTTCCATCAGCTGCTTAATATCCGCAGCCCCTCCACCCTTTGATGTAGACGAATTCAACTCCGTCACCAAGTTCTCGTCAAATGACGTAATATCTGCAGAAACTTGCTTGGAAACCTTTGCTGCAGGTCCACCATTCTTTTTCTGGGAAGATTCACGCTTCAATTTTGAAGTCGACTGATGCAAGTTTTTACAGATAACCCGCAATCGCGATTGGATGAGACCTGACCTATTAATCTCGTCAAATAAAATATCCTAAAAGTAAATGAATAAGTATTTTAGCAAAACCTAATTCACATAATGATAAAATAAAGTTTAATATTACAATTCCTAAGGTAGACACAGAATATTTCCAGCAGGGTAAAATTATCACAATTGCTTTTGCCAGCAATTTTTGATCGGCTGATAAAGGCGTCTCTCTATTAAAGTAAGAAGGAAAAATAATGAAAAAGCAAATAGACATAATAGATTAATGAATTTAGGACGTTCAATTCTAACCTCTACTAATTTAGCAACAAATGCGTATATTAATATAGCGGATGCACTCTGGTCAACACATCCTTTCCTGTTACAATCCGAGACCACTTGTTTTAGGTCAGGGCTGTTGTCCACTGTGAACTCCAAGATCTAAACATATAATCCTTCTAATTAGATTCAGTATTAAATATTTAGAGCTTAAAAGTACCTGTGTAAAGTAGTTAGCATCTAAATTATGGGGCAAGGATCCAGAAGGCTGAGCATATTGCTGGGAAACTACAAATTAACAATTACATATGTTAGGAATACGATCATTTTTAATTTAAACAATTTACTTACGATAAACAATTGGAGAAATTGTTGCAGGATTCACGGTCCACTCTATTTGGATTTCGCCTTTCACTAAAAACTCGATGTTGGGGGTTGCCTGCTGCTTGACAAAAAAAGAGAAAACTTTTTCACTGATTTCTGCCCCCTGGTCATTTTGGAGAGAAATTTCTGATTCGTCATCCAACTCGAAGTCTAATTTAACTGAACCAAAAACATTTTATGCATTAAAAGTTTAAACCAGTGTTACATATTAACAAAAAATTACCTTCGATTAAAAACTCCTGATAATTGTCAGTCGAAACAATTTTTTTTTCCACGTGTAATATTCGAGACACGAATTAAATAAGACATTTTGGCGAAGAGTTATACAAAAAAATGACTCAGCGCCACTAGCGTAGCATTGTTGAATCTCAACATCACCGAGTGGTGTAAAATTATAAAAAAATCTTAAAGAAACATAACCAAATAGTAAAATAAAGTATAACCAGACAATTTTCAGGCTGCATTACAACCCGGTAACAATATTGGTTATAATGCAGCATAGCTTTTCGGTTATAATCATAACCATGTGGCAACAAAATGATACCGACTCTGTACAGCGAATGATTATCAGGCCGGTTTTAACATTTTTGTGCATTTGGTTATAATCTGGTTATAATATCCTTAAAATTATGGTGGTGGTCGTTATCACCAGCGGCTTGGTGATAACGTTTATTAGAAAATCATAACCAGATTTCTAAGAGTGTGCGCCGTAATATATAATAATCTCAAAACTCAACAACTTCAGACTTAAGGAATATAAAACGTCTTAACAATTGACAAGTACAAAATAAATAAATAAAAATTAGTTAAGAGTTAATCTTTTACTAAAAAACAAAACTGAAAACTAACTCTCACCGTTCATTTACTTTTGTATTTAAACGTTGTAAACACTTTGAAACTATCGTAGTTAATTATTTCCATCAAAGTAAGATAATGTTTATAAAATTTAAGATTTAAATTCAAATATTCAAGATGATTATTTTTTTAAATTTTAACATTTTACCGTGATAATAATAATCTGTATTGTAGAGATGTAAGAAATCTTTTTCATAAATTTCTGAATTTTGGGGAATAAAATGAAGAGAAATGATATTTTGAATTGAATTTTGAATTGAATTTTGAAATGACGTACACATTTGTCAAAAGACTCCTTACGTATCGTAAACTTTGCAAAGATTGTGTCGGCGAAAATTTATTTTGTACAAATCTGTACCATACAAATTTGTACGTCTAGTACAAACTCTACGATAATTTTGCAAGAATTGTAAAGTTTACAAGGTTACTAACAGATGCTTTTGATACATTGAAAAATCGTTGTTATACGTGAAAATTTCGACCCGTAATAAATGAGCTAAGGCGAAACGTGAAAATTTAAGGTGTATTTTGTACCCGGTTCTTAAACTGTAAAAAGAAGTTCAAAATTATTGCTAAATAAAGTAAATAAGGAGCGAAATCCGTTATTTTTTCAAATAAAATTTGAAATTCTCATCAATTTGAATTTTCTCCTAAACTACAGACGATTCCCGCCGCGATGCCCGCTACCCGATCGTGCTGGTGATTCACGGAGAGAGTTGGGAGTGGGGGAGTGGCAACGAATTTGATGGGGCGGCCCTCGCCAGCATCGGAAACCATATCGTCGTCACCTTCAATTACAGGTGAGAGTTACAGACCAGCAAGGAAATTTAAATTACTATTGGCGCGTATTTTTTTATATGTAACGAGTAGCAAAATATTCTATTTTATTTTCAGGTTGGGACCTTTAGGTGAGTAGTACCGGAATTATTTGAATTTTTATCCATCGTCGATTATCGCATATTTCATGCGTTTCATGATTAATTGCGAAAGAACATGATTATTTACAACCCGAATCCATTCATTGCCAGACGGTCACCTAGTATCCTTTTCATTTAACATTTGTTTAAAAATTGCTAAAAGTGGCGTTATAATTTTACATTTTATTTTTGAAAACCACTCAGTTTAAAAAAAGTAAGACATGCAATCTATTTTATGCGTATTTAGCCCGTTAAGCTGAAGGGGAAACAAGCTGCTATAATCAAGATGAGAAAGAAAGAAGGATCCATTCATTGATCCATCTCAAGTATATGACATTCTTCACACAGTCTTCTTAAAGTTAAATAGGTTCGATGACTACTACACTCAAAACAAAACGGTGTCAATATATGACTTAACCGCCTTGGTTACAATGTTGAATCCGAGTTATGATGATTTTGATACCGGTAGTTATAATGCTATGACCGGACGGAAAAAATTCATTACTACTCGGAATTACAATTGTAACCAAGGCGGTTAAGTCATATATTGACACCGTTTTGTTTTGAGTGTAAAATTTGCACAACTTTATTTAGAGTGGCTCTATTTTTACAAGTTTATAACGCGTTTGTCCAGACCTGTCAGTAAGTCTACAGAATATGACAGTAATTTTTTTCGATTTGTTTTACTAACTTTGATTTCATAAGCTCTCATTTAAACCTTAACCAACCTATCTGTAACACTAATTTGAATAATATTAACTTTAAATTTTCCTATATCGTGTGAAAGTTAGCGTGTGGATATTTTTATTAATTTCTGTGAAAAAATAACGTTTAAAAATGTAGTTCTCACTGTAATCTGTCAGCACAGAAATTTTGCCATCGCATTAAATTGATACTCTAATCGTTCAAAAAGTGCAATTTCACATTTCCAGTTTTGAAAATGACTCTACAATTGTAAAAATTTAAATGGATGAAAATAATCAAATTCCGGAAAAAAATTATGATAATTTTAGTGAAAAGTGGAAATCTGAGGTCTGAACACCATGTGTATTTGATTGGTCAAAGTTACATATTCGATATTATTCTAAATTTGCTTACCCCTAATATAGATCTGATATAACATTCAATTTGTTGTTATTAAGAAATTATCGCTTTCAACGCCTTTATTATTCGTAAATTGATTTAAAGTTTTGTAACCCTGTAATTGTTTTAGAAATTTTTGCAAATAATAGAGAATGCTCTCATTCTGAGTAAATTTGTAATATCACACTTTTCTTTGCGGTGTTTCTAAATTCGTAGAAATTTTGACTAGTTCATTATGCTAGGAAATTTCTAAGCAATCTTCGCACAGGACTTTTGCAAAAACTGGGATAAAATTACGTCCCTATGAATTAGATGGCATCACGTAATAAGAAAATTACATAACGTGGCCAACTCTTATCTAGTAACTGGCGATGAATGAGACCGGAAAACAAGGAATGTGCACCTGTCCACCCACTCCACAATTCATTAAACATTTTGCTTGTCAACAAATAAATAGGAAAACTGTGATTAAAAAATATGTGTGGAGTTCAACGCCATTCGGAGAAAAATTATTAAATTCGTAATTCTACATGCAAAATGCAGATGTTTATTTAGTACAAGCTAATTTAAGTTTGTACTAAAATAGCATCCAAAAATTTTGAATAAAGACTAACTGGCTTTTGTGATAGTATCAGATTCTAAGTTTTTCAAAAATCAAGAAAACTATTACAAAAAAATACTAATAAATATTTACTGACTAGATACATAAAAAAATAATAGATTTCTTGATTGAAGTAATTTTCTTGTAATGCAAATGTAACGAACGAATAAATTTTCGAGCTGGAAAAGACTGAATATTTAACGGATAACAAATTATTACTGTGCAAAATTTTTAAAAAAGTACCGAAGAGAAAGCAGGTAAATAAAAGTAGTGCCAAAAGTAACTTAATAAATTCTACCGTTAAGTTAAAAATTTGTCACCGAATTTTATAGAGTGCAGAATACATAACTAGCTTGACAGCCATACCTCATAAAGTTTTTTGGTGAGAAAAAGTCTCTCAAAACTGAGCCAACTCTTGACAAGAGTCACTTTTAGTGTAGGACAAAGTAATTATGATCACATAACTTTCTCTGACGTGACTTTCACCTGAAAAATTAAGCAAAACCTCGCCCCCAGATCAGAACCAAGTCGCATTTCAAATATTACTATTCGACCAATAGTAAATAATGCATGTGATTTATGTTAAAAACGAATAGTTCCCGTCTTAATAATTCCCTATGTAAGGAATTTTCGAAAATTTACTTGTTTCCATTTTTAAATTTTGCATATAAATTACGCATTTTCGTTCAAAACTTTATTAAGAAAGATGATGATTGCATTTATTTAAAAATTAAATGTTTTTTGCCAACCATAACGCCGTTTTCAGCAAATCATCAATATTTTAGTAGTATAATGTACACTAGATTTTTTTGCAAAATCAGTGAAATCTCACGTGCAATATTATCATCGCAGCAACCACGTAGTTTATTGACACTATTTGATTTATCCTTAGAATAATTATAATTTACCCCAGAAATATCGCAATTTTTCGCAATTAATCATGTACAGACAAAAATTTGAATTTTTTAAATGACTTTTTCCTACTCCAATTTTGTGCAGGTTTCTTGAAGACGAGTAACCAGCAGTCGAACTTTGGTCTGCTGGACGTGATCGCGGCGTTGCATTGGGTGAAGGAAAACGCGGACAGTTTTTCCGGGGACAAGAATCGCATCACGCTTCTCGGCTACAGGACCGGCGCCGTCGTCGCCAATCTCCTCCTCGTCGCTCAAATCGCCAAAGGTGAGAAATTTGTTTAAATACTGCCACATTCATTTCTAAATTCTAAAGAGGATCGATCCACTAACGAGTTGGACTGACGAAATAAAATACTCAGAACTTTTTACAGTTAATGCAATTTCAAAAAAGTTGAATATGTTTACTACCAAAGGGTCTGGATTGCCATACAGTTCAAATTTTAATGATTCAATTCCGCTGTCTGCTACAGATTGCAGTTTCTTCTTCCGATTTCGCACCTACTTTCAAGGTGATTTTCTTCCATCTATTCTTAAATTTTCGTAAGGTGTCTGGCGTTTCTGAAAGCTTAGAACATTTGGACTTAGTCAGCGCTCAGAATTTCTCAATTGGTCGCAGTTGAGGAAAATTTGGTGGGTTTCCATTTTTTGGCACAAGTTCAATTTTTTTCAGATGTCGGTACTGAGTGAACTTTTTGGCATCATGGGACCTTACGAGGTCAAGCCAAAACAAAACTTTATTTTTTATGATCTTTAGTAATAAAAGATTCCAATCCCCCTTTAATGCATGATTTAAGATAAACCCCCTGGTTTATAGTGCCCTCCAAAATAACGGGATCGGAAACATGACTAATGCAAGACATGCGTTGCCAAATTCTTCATTGTTTTGTGAATTGGTCTTTCTTTTGGACTTTGTCTTCATATTTTACTTCACAGGGGTTGGAACTATGGAAAAAATGCCTTCCTGGAAGATTTGAAGGGTCAGCTGTGACGTAGGGCTCATCGTCCATGATGACCACGTTTCTCCGAATTTTCTTCAACTATTTCTTGCATCACATATGAATCATTTCATTTTGTGTTGGTTTGTAATTTGGTGCTGGTTTTTTTCCCCTGGCTACAATCCCTAGTTTATGGACTTTGATTTTGCTTAGATAGCTTTTCGAAATGTTGACCTTCCTTTCCGCGCCAGCCGTTGTCGTTGATGGATAATTTTTGAAGATTTTTTATGCGATTTTTGACTTTTGTCGTCGCTAGCTTTGCAGGTCGACCAGTGGGGACTTTGAATTTGAGTTCATTGGATTCCTCGTACTTTTTTATGTAAGAGTTGACATTTGAATGAGGAATACCTTCTTGCTTGAAAAAATGTCAAGTGATTTTAGAATCATAGTTTGTTCGATTTTTGTGAAACTCAATCAATCTTTTTTCAACTCTTGCCTTTCAACCCAAGTTTTTCTAGTCTTAGCCATGACTCAATAATTGGTGACATATATCAATGGAAAGCTTATAACTTGGTCTATTCAAAAATAATTTTTTCGAAATTTAATTTCGCTGTGTTCCCGCCTAGTGCGCCTTTACGGGGCAGTCCAACTCGATAGTGGATGATCTTTAAGCTTAATGTTTCCCGCTCTGAAATTATTATAAAGGCGAAGTTACAGTCCAAAAGAAATATGTTTCCAAAGGTTTAATTTGGAAAGGCATATTTTGGGGGTTTAAAATTCGGTTTTAATTAATTTTGCATTTTTAAGGTATTTCTAAGGTATTTTTAAGGTATTTCTTTATCTTCATTTACGGTATAACGAATTTTACGTATCAATTAAAAAAATATATACGAAATAGACTACGAAGTAATGCCTTTTGGGATCTTTTACTTTCAATAATTCGAATTTTTCTACAATTATGAAACTTGGCGCAATAATTATAAAAAAATTATGAATTTTTTTCTTTCAATCGAATATTCATTGATTGTCAAAATATTAGCAACAACAACCAACAATATTGATGGACGTCTTCTTGACAGGATTTTACTCTTTTTATGCCATCCATAAAAATTATATAAAAATTTCTATTCTTTAATAATTTTAAAATTTTGCTTAGTCTACAAAATAATTCCCTTGTCAAAATTCCGTCTACATTTTTGCGCTAATTTTTAAATCGTTTAATATACATAATTAAACAAAACACCTTATAAAAAGATTGGTCAGTTTAACAGGAATTAAAAATAATATTCCTAATTTTCAGGTTTATTCCAACGCGCCGTTCTAATCTCGGGGTCCGTCCTGTCGCCCTGGGCGTTACAACGTCGCCCAGAAGATGTCGCCAAACAGCTGTCCACGGCGTTCGGGTGTGTCGGCAAGTTGCCCTTGTCGCACCCAGAGTCCGATTTGGCGCCCTGCTTGAGGAAGAAACATGTCTCCGAGCTGATCTCCTTTGTGCCTGCGTCGCCCAAATTCCTGTCCGCCTACGCCCCTTACGTCGACAACGTGCTGCTCAATAACCCCAAAACCTTGATGGAATCTGGCGGACAATCTTCGTCATCGTCGTCCCAACATTTCGTCCAAGACCAATTTTTGCGCGCGGAGCTTTTAATTCTGTTCACGACGTCGGAGGGCGTGCACGAGCTTAACGACCACGAGCTCAGAGCCGGCTTTGAGTCGGATCACAGAGACAAAATTTTGAGAACGCTGGTCCGAAACGTGTTTAATTATCACCAACAGGAAATTTTGTCCATCATTCGGAACGAATATACGGATTGGGAGAGGCCGATTTTGCACCCGATCCCGCTTCGGGATTCGACAGTGGAGGCGTTAAGTGATTGTGTGGCGATCGGGCCATGCCTCCAAGTGGCAGGGATTCATGCGAAGAGAGGTGCGAAAACGTGGGTGATGCATTTTGCACATGTTTCCAAGGATGCGGGAGGCGTGGGGGAGGAGTCGGCGGGGTTTGAGGTGAGACAGGAATTTTTGAAATTTTTTAATTAATACTAAGAATTTTTATCTGCCCGAAAAACATTATTTTTATGAAGTTCTTTTATCAAATACTGGATTTTTAAACGACATTTTAAAATAGTATAAGTGAGTTTCTCATTTGTTGGAAGGTTTAAAAAGCAAAATAAATAATTTCTAAACGTTTGTATAGATATTTGATAGAGTAGATCCGACTGCCTTTTTCCCTGAGCAATAATGAGTTCCCATGAATTTTATTTGTGAAACACACAAACTCAGTTTGAACATGAGATTTTTTAGGTGACAATCTTATTCCCATTTTTTCTCCCGCAAAAATTATTTTGGAAATATTTTTTTTTCTACAAAATATATGCGGTTCTTTAATTTGTTTCACGATTTTTATACTGTACATTAAATTTCTGAGGGTTCATGTAACTGATTTTTACAGAACATATCGGAAGGAGATCAAACCAAAGTAATTTGTTCATAGGTTTATCAAAAAAATATAATTCATAATTCATATTTCACCTTTGCAATCTGTTCTGAACATACACATTTATTGTTATGAAATGTCGCATTTTTTAAATATAAAAATAAATGTTTAACACGTCGCAATTTAAATTTTTGAATTCGTTACATATAATTGGAACTATTAGATACGATCACTTTTTCACAGGAATATGATCTTCATGTTTTTTTCGTCGAGAAATACAAATTCATCTTGGAAATTAATATTTAAAGTAAAAATTTGTAGATATTTCTCAGAAGAAAAGTTATTTTCGAAAATTGTTTTTGTTAAAATGTTTCTGTCACTTGCAGCGTCTGGGAAGTCTGGAGGGTGACATTGTGCCTTACGTGATGGGACTCCCGGTGACGAACAATATACCCGCGCTGGGCCTCAACCAGCATGTTTCGCCCTTCGCCGCCCTCGCAAACTTCTCCAAGCAGGACGCCTTCGTGGCTGAAATGTTGCTTCATTATGTCGCCAACTTTGTGAAAAGCGGGTAAGTTGCGAGAATAGTGGTTGTTTTTATCGGGTTGGGAAATGTTAATGAATTGGCGAGCTTTCTACAAAATAAATAATTTGCATAGTAAGTTACGGAATAATTTACGTAATAAATATTATGGGTGTACTCAAGATAACTTTTGCGACAAATCTCGGACATTACACAAACCAAGATAGATTTTTAAAGTTCGTGAAATTTATGAAATTTTGATAAAAATTTTGCTGCGATACTAAAATTTTAGGATTTCTGGACAAAAGTATCGACATTTCATGAACATCATTTCACAAAATGTTTGCATAATACGACACGAAATTAGAAATTGCGACGAGTACGTGCAATATAATTATATTCAGAGTTAACAGATTTTGGAAAGGTAATTTTTATATTTTTAAAAGAAAAATAAATAATTTGAAAAGCTTTTGCCATTTTTGATTAAGTTTACGAGTTACTAAATTACCTCGTGTACACAGAGTTCCATAAAATTTGTTTACATTAGAAAGATAAAAAGTTATTATTTTTTAGTTTTTTTTTAACTTTTGCACGAAGCGGATGCCGAAAATATTTTGTTGAGAGGTTTAAATAGGAAAAATTAAGAGCTAGATAACATGGCCACGTTTGAGGAAGGTTGAAAACATCTAGATTCTATGATATGAATTTATAGACTTGAAAATTGAAAACTTGAAAATCCATAATTTTAGCAATTATTATTTGAGATTGCAGGAAAAATCGGAAATGCATTTCTTCGAAATTTTCAATTTTTAATATAAATATCCCGTTTATCTGCAGTAATTGATGGTAATTGAGTACATTTGTGCCCAATTTTGCGTTGCCTAAATCAATCAAAAGCCTTATGCAGGCAAGATCTAAAATGTATAAAGGTGGCCTTTTCACGGGACACGATATCTCATAAAAAATGCAAAATACACGTCGATTGACATGACTTTTTCCGACCGGAAGTGGGCTCGTGTCGTTGCTATCGCGTCAACAAGATATGATTACAGAGGAGAAGGGAAACTTTTAGGGAAGAAAGTCCTTTCTCAAACCATCAATAAATCCGGCATATGTTACACTGACGGAGAAAACACTTTATTCTCGACGTTGTGTTTCCTTCCTTGTCGGTCTCAACGATTGGAGAGAGTGAATGCAAAAAATTGTGAATGACACTCTTAAAAATGTTCGAGATAAATTATTTCGTACTTACGTAACGAGAAAATCAACAGAAAATCAATTTACACTTATTTTATGAGGCCAGAAATTCAATTTGAATTATTCAGTTCAATTTATTGGAAATATTTTGTATAGATATTTTAATGTAATTTGGTAACGTCGGAAGATATTATATTGAGATGTTTGGAAACACGATGTTGCGATAAAGATCGATGTCTAACTAACTTGTTACTGATATTGATTGTATTGATTTGTATGAATTTACAATTTCGTGGTAAACATTTACTACCGTGATATTTGGTAAAATTACGACCAAAAAGTTAGCAGAATATTGTGATTGTCAATTTTTAAGAGTGCTTATCCTACCAAGTCTTCATTTGTGTATTGGATCATTTTCCGTGTGCCGTCCAGATCAGGAACTTTCTGTTCTGCTTCTATTTTACTTTACTTTCGCACTGTTTTTTATATATTTTTTTTCAAAAAAACTTTTTGAAGGCATCAAAGTGATGAATTACTTCCGAGATGGATGTTCAGATACCGGGAAAAAAGCTACTTTTATACTTTAACTTTACTTCACTTTGGGTTTCTGTCGGTGCTTTTTTCAAATTTCACAGCCGTGGAAAAATGCGTGTTTTTACGTTTTGGGTTAAAAATTTACCTCTACACATTTGCACCTTGAAAATAATATGGTACACTGTAAAAAATGTGGGGAAGTCATATACATATATTTCTCCTCGTGCTACTAATGGCTAGAGGGTGTCCAGAAAGTTTCTCCCTATGGATTTTCCGCCCGTTTTTTGTTGCTAGTTTTAACATCTTTGAGTTTTGTCGTGCAATTATTTTTCCAATACGATACTAAAGGTGAAGCCTTTTCCCATGCACAAGGAATTGAGTATCCTAGCAGTATCCAATGCTGGGGATCGATTTAAGTGGAAATGCAAAAATCTGAAAAATGCTAGGATTGCGGAGTGATCAAAAATATTTTAAAGCCAAACGCAGTTCAAATATTTCGAGGACACTCTATCAATCAAAAAGGTACTTACTTACATAAATAATTTGAAGGAAATCTCATAGTTTTCGTATGAAATCTGAACCGGACTAAATCTCGCTACGCAACACTTTCAGAAGAATGGTAATACTTTAGTAGCTACTTTTGAGAATAACCCAGCATGACAAATAAGGGTTGTCAGACATACAGGGGTCAGTATAAAACGCTTTTTAGCCCACGTGATATGAGTTAAACTTCGCAAAACTGGTTAAAAGCATAGATTTTCGACTATTTGGACCCCTGTAGAAGGCGACGATAAGCGCATATTCACTGACAAGAGCTAGATTTAATAGCATTGACAATTCAATCCACAAAATTCGTGATGTAGGAAAACAAATTTGAAGAGTGTGGCATCCATTACAAGGCTGAAACACGACTTTAAAATCCCGGTCCCAGGTTGGTTTCGTAGGGACCACGCATTTTACACCACAGTTTTAAGGCATGAATTGTATAAATGGTGGAGAAGACCGAATTACGCACACCATATTACGGTACTTTCAAAAAATATAGCAGTTTGAACAATTCTATCTCCCTGTTTTTGTCAGTTAATAAATTCATTAGTGGTTAACAGGGAGAAACTTTCTGGACACACTCTACACTAAAATCTGCGTGGAAGCAATTTATTCTAAATAAACCGTCGCAAACGCGCATACGGAAGTAGCTTCAGACTACTTCACTCCAATCACTCCCACGACATCGCGGGAACACTTGATTTTACTGTATTTCATCTATACATTCAATTTTTTCAAAAATCTCATTTTGCCCCGACCACACCCCCTAGTGACGAGGGGGTGTGGCACAACTCGGGAGCACTTTATTCTACTGTATTTCATCTATGCATTCAATTTTTTCAAAAATCTCATTTTGCCCCGACCACACCCCCTGGCGCCCGGGGGGTGTGGCACAACGGGGGAACTCAAAATTTCACTCCATTTCATCCATAGATTCAATTGCACTAAAAATCTCATTTCGCCCCGACCACACCCCCTGGCGACCGGGGGTGTGGTCCGGTTGCACCCAAAAGTTGATAGGATCCTCCCCCTGGGGTATTATGTATGATGGCGAAAACCGATTTCGATTATCTTTATCCGTTCTCCCGTTATCCTGCTGACAGACAGACGGACAGACAGACAGACAGACAGACAGACAGACAGACAGACAGACAGACAGACAAAGTCTTCACATAAAGTAGCTGAAGCTACTTAATAAATGAGTAAACATCAAAATTATTTATATTCATTAGCATTTCTACCTCTATACATAATCTACGTGTCCACTATAGAAATTTATAACGAGGCGAAAATTGGCCCAATTGTCTGCAGAAATTCTTGGCCTGCAAAACAATTGTGCATAATTATATAAATACAAAACCAAGGCATGAGACTTTACTGTGCAAAACTCTTCTGCAAACACATTCATAAACTTGACAAATCCTGTACACAATTTTATACAGAAAATTGGGTAACTTTTCGCCAAGCCACTTTCATACGGAATATGCTTCAACCGAAATAGATGTATTAACCTAACTAATCTTTTCATATTTACAATGCAAGTCTTTTACGTGTACAACTCAGATCTGGTTGGGACCAATTTTATTTTGTTCACCACAAAAAATAAGCATACCCGTATTTTTTCATTTTTCATAATGCGCTAATTTGAGCGCGGGGCGCGAATTTTAAAACATTTTTCAGCCAAAACCTCGGTTTTTTAAAATTCTGTAACTTTTCGAATTTTAGCGCGAATCCAAAAATTCGAAAACATGGCTCTTCAGAATGACTTACTTGACTTATGAAAAATCTACATGCATAATTTTTTGAAAATTTAAAAATTTGAAAGAATTTATAATTTTAATGAATTTCAAAAACTGGCAAAAAAATTTGAAAATCAAATTTCGAGACAATGGGATTTTTCATAAGTCAGGTAAGTCATTCTGAAGAGACATGTTTTCGAATTTTTGGATTCGGGCTAAAATTCGAAAAGTTACAGAATTTTTAAAAACCGAGGTTTTGGCTGAAAAATGTTTTAAAATTCGCGCCCCGCGCTCAAATTAGCGCATTATGAAAAATGAAAAAATACGGGTATGCTTATTTTTGGTGGTAAACAAAATAAAATTTGTCCCAACCAGATCTGACAAGGGACACTCACGACCTGTCGTTTGAGTCCAGGGTACCCACTATGTATTTTAGAATCTACTAGGACCCCAGATGAAGGATTCATTCATATTTCCGTGTAAAACTCATATTTGACGCCATGGCGTGGCGCCAAACTTAAAAATTTGCATTTTCGACCAATTTCAAACCCCCATAACTTTTGCAGTTTATGTCAGATTTTCAAAATTTTATGCTTAAAATGATCACAAAAGTCTAAATTTTTAAGAAAAAAATAAAAATAAAAAATTTCTAATTTTTGAAATTTTTTAGCATTTTTTCGACGAACCCCCATTTTTAAGAAAATTACGAAATTTTGCGAAAAGTTGAAAGCAATAATTTTGGGAAAGATTTCATGGAATAAGAAAGTCGAACTCCTTGTCATGATTTTTACCAAATATTTTGAAAATCCGTCCAGGATTTCAAAAGTTATGGCGGTTTCAAAAATAAAAACATTCAAATTTGGCGAATTTGGCGCCACGGCACGACGCCAAATATGAGTTTTACACGGAAATATGAATGAATCCTTCATCTGGGGTCCTAGTAGATTCTAAAAAGCATAGTGGATATCCTGGACTCAAACGACAGGTCGTGAGTGTCCCTTGTGAGTTGTACACGTAAAATACTTGCATTGTTAGTGGGCTTCCTCATTGCGCCACTACCTTAAATTAAATCAAGTGTCAGGCATATTAATTTACACCTTATTTAACAATGACAAGGATATCTGACCAATTTTATCCACCCCAAAATAGTATTACTCCTTTGCAGAGCTCAGAGGATATCATGGATATTTGGAGGGTGGGGGTGCAGGGCAAGATTTTGGCCTGAATATGGATATACCTGTGTTTCTGCTGTTAAAAAACACCTGCACGAAATTAGTACATAAAAATGTTTTTCAACATTTAATAACACCCATCGAAAATCCGGAAAAGTGCATGAAAACGCATGAAAATGCACAAAAATCATTTACGTTCAAATAATATTAGAATAATGCAATTTTTTCAAATATTCTATTAATTGAGAAGCCTTTGCGCTATTGTACGATATTTTCTTTATTGTTTTAGAAGTTTAGTGTAAAACTATTTTTCAATTTTCATTTTTCAATACATCGGTAAGCCCTGACTCAGGTTAGATAGCGTGGTAAAGTTTCAAACTATTTAGATAACTGAATCTTACACCCATTTTATAGGGTAAAAAAATACAATATTTGTTAAAAATATGAAATTCCCTCCATAAATTGCATTTCATTTATTATTATGCATTTTTACACATTTTCGTGCATTTTTGTGCATTTTCGTGCATTTTTGCATGCATAAAAATAATTTCGTGCGCACAAAAGGAAACACTGGGATATACATATATCCAGATATTTGGAGGTTTTCACCCGATATCCGCCGAACTCTGCTCCCTTGAAACTATCGAGGCTAAAGCATCTTCCCAATTTTTCAGGGAGACGGAAATCTCTCCTCCATCAATTTTCTTCTCGCCACCGGCACGACGTCGTGTTTTTTCATGTAATTCTAGCCCATTCCGAAACGCGAGTTTGCACAGGGTTCCAATTTCCTGTTCCACACTCTTCTCCCGATGCAACAAGGCCGCCGTCCGGTTCGCCATGACGTACAAGATTTCCTCGCCGGGTTGCTCATGCCAGGCGGAACTGCAGGCCTCGATCAGTTTCCGCCTCTCCTTAATTGTGGGCAGGGTTGGGATATGGAGTGGTTTTGATAAACCAATCGGTCCTCCCAGACCGGGGGGAACGGTCCAATTTTTATCAGATGTGGCCAGCACGAGGTATCCGCCAGGTGTTGCTTTCACCAGATGAAGGATGATGAGATCGATTATGTTTTTGGGGACGCAGTCTGGAATGTAAATAAGTAAAAAAGGTTGTAAGAAATTCATGAAATTTTACGTGAATTAATTAATTAGGGGTATTTTGTCACCGGATGGTATTACATAAATAGTTGTTATTACTGTGAATATGACAAATTACTGCCAACGGCGGGGCTAAAATTGGCCAAATTCTCTACGCAGGAGGATACAACATACAAATTCTGCACATTACATACATAGTTGGGCAAATTTCTGCAGAATCATGCGAAACGGAAGGGCATGCAGAAAATAGTTTGCAAAAGTACGAAGGAAATTTTACAGTGAAAATATAGGGCCAATTTTCGCCTTCATTTTTTTCCCTTGGTCATAACACATGTATTTCTTCAAATTTCATTGTAATAATTTCCTAAAATTTTGTAAATTATTTTAGCCACCCCAACTCCAGCCCGGTAACAATGGATCACTTACTTACCATCAGGGTCTTTTGACTGTTTCCTTGTAGGATTTCTAGACAGGGTCATGTCAGTTCAAAAATTCTCCAAATTTTTTTTACAGATTTTAAAGTTTGAGAGTACGGACTATTTTTGCTGGGAGAACTTGGTTGTCAAGAAGTTCTCCCAGCAAAAATAGTCCGTATTCTCAAACTTTAAAATCTGTAAAAAAAATTGGAGACTTTTGAACTGACATGACCCTGTCTAGAAATCCTCCAAAGAAACAGTCAAAAGACCCTGCTTACCATAATCCAAAAAGATAATGACGGGCCTCTTCTTTTCCGCCAGGTTGAAAATTCCCCTCACATAAAAATCATCCCCTGGATAATAATCCCTATTATAGTGAGGTTTCTCTGCGACAATGTATCTCGTTCTGTGCCCAGTTTGAGTCTGAATTTCATTCCGAACCGCCCCCACGACCCGGGTAACTTTTCCAAGGTTTCCCCTAAAAGGGACAAATTTCGGCACTTTTTCCTCCAACTGGTCAGAAAGGGTGTAAAGGTCACTGTTTATGAATGGAGTGACGACGTTGTCTTGGAGAAACTGGGCCTGTTTTTGAAACCCTTCGGCCCGCAGGGTGTCAAAGGTGACGTTCAGATTTCCACCAGGGTCGCCAACATCCCAAGTAATGTGACACATTGAAACGCAAATTAGCATGAAGAGAGAGCCGGCAAAGATAAGAGGTAACCGATCTGAGGAGGATTTCTCGACCGTGGAGGGTTCTTCTTCCGTCTTGGTCATTTTGATTTGTACAAATTTTTGATAAGTTGTGTGAGATTTTGGAATTTTGGTGTTAAAGTTCACAAGGAGAAGAAGGTGGACGTGTGTGTTAGGGGAGTGAGTGAGTGAGAGTGGTGTCAAATTCATGCAGATGAACACTCCATAATTTGATACACTCTAAGAAACCCGGTGGATAAGTTATTACCAAGCGGAGTATCTATGTGACTCTACCGCATGGTAATTAATTTATTATTGAGTGGTAGATAATTAGTTACCAACTGGCAAAATATTTTCAAATTTCGCGATCGGGGTTTTTACTAGTTTGGTAACAAAATGTCTACCACTCAATAATAAATTAGTTACCATGCGGTAGAGTTACATAGATACTCCGCCTGGTAATAACTTAGTTACCGGGTTTCTTAGAGTGCAATAGATGAGCTTCTGACCAATAGTGACTCGTCTCGTACTTATTATGCACACTCAAAATAAGGTGGTAATGAATCATTCCCATGCGGAATCACTATGTGTCTCTACCACGATTTGTCGCAGAAATGGTAACAATAAGTTTAGGGAAATTCAAATTCATCACCAAATATTAAAGAAGTGATTAAGTTAAGTATTAAATTTGAATTTGGCTGAACTTATTGTTCCATTTCTGCGACAAATCGTAACCGACATGGTAGAGACACATAGTGATTCCGCATGGTAATGATTCATTATTATTTTGATTATTTTGAGTGTATCACTACCGAGGAATAAATGGAGTAGAAATTAAAAAAATTACTAGTGAGTAAGTACATAATGAATACCAGGGCAGTAACATCTCGTTACCGCAGCGTACATAAATATGTATACGACTCCACCAGATTTTTAAGAGTGTATTTACTATCCACAAACTTTGGTTCCCTTGTCGCTTGTTCCAATTTGCAAAGTGTAACCTTCGCAAAGGAGGAAAGCGTGTTATGATTGCCATTAAACGGAAGGGAGAAGGGTTGACCATAATTGAATTGAATCCTTGCCTCGTAAATTTTTAACCAGACGGCGGCTATGTATGTATTTATTTCTAACTTTTTCATACCAACTCAGATCGTACTAAAACTTCACAGACTGACATCCCATCTAAAAGCACGATCGCAAAAATTCAAACACAGTTTTTCATATTTAGCATATTTTCAGGTTTTCGTACATATTTTCCAGTATATTTCGAGTATTTTTCCAAATATAAATATTTAGTAGATATTTCGAAGCTTTATATGTAAAAATATTTTTCTTCATTCAGAAATTAAGGTTTCCTCAAAATTATATTTCATAAATGTAGTAGAAAGTTGAAAAACATTTTTTATGTGCATACTTTCGAGCTTTTTAGGCACATATTGCATACATATTTTGTGGAATTTACATAAGTACATACATATCCGCGCTCTGCTGATGTTCCATACTTTTATGGGAAACAGTATAAAATGCATGTACAAAGTGCTTAAAAGATTTTATTGTGCATCGGAATCTATATAAAACTATGTAAGTATGCGAGTCTAGTTGCTTTAATGGCGACCTAACTTGTTTCCGAAACAGTGCAATTAATTCGTTAGGAAACTTATCGTGATCTGACGGATTTCAAAATTTTATTGCGAAAAAATAAAATTACTTATCACTTAATTTCAAAATCAAATCAAAATTTGTTTGAAAACAACAAATTTTCAAATTGCATTTTTTTATGTGTAAAGCGTTTTTTTTTATTTTGGACTAGTTATTGAATTATAAACCGTATTTTTCACATACAGGCTACAGTTCAACCAATTTTAATAGTCTCAATTCCTTGAAAGCTTTCTGAGAGGTTATTTGATTTTCCAAAAACAATATAAAATAAACTGCCAGGAAACCTTTCAGATTTTTTTCGGACCAATAATATTTGCTGAACAGTATTAATTAAGTGGACCTTACGCGGAAAAGGATTGTCACCGTTTTTGGCGGTAAATCAAATTTACCAATAATTTTATTCCCACATTATTCGTAGTGCATCAAATAATCATTATCATTGACAAGTTGCGCCCACCCGAGGGAATCGGAGCAGGAGAAAGTTTTTGGTGAAATATTTACCGAAAAAATAATGTTGAGATGAAAGTGCGGATGAAACTTTTGCCTCGTTGACATCTTGTTTACGCGACATCCATCTTGTTCCCGAGCGAAAGTTGGACTACGAAAAGTGCAGATCACAAAATAACCAACTTGTTGAGAGCTCTCTTTTATGCAGAGTAATTTCTCTCTCGGAGAAAACACAACTTTCCCGAGTGACAGATTTCTCTTTGAACTTGGAGGATGTCCTGTTTATTCAGTCGAATATTAATTAATTAAAATTCTGGGCATAATTATGGGGGGGGGGGCAAAATTTAACATAAATTTTACTTTCACAAGTATTATATAATAAGTATCTATATATTTCTGGTTTGGACAGATTAACCATTTAAAGAGGACAAGTAAAAGTCAAGATGTCCATAATTCGTGTCACCAGGCGACAGTAGAGTTACCTTAATTCGTGAGGGAGCTTTATTTCTAAGGGATCATTATTCGTAACCAAAAATGCCAGTCAAATATGTTACTCCGTGACAACATTTTCATAAAAAATTTTAATTTTTAGCCCGACCCAAGGCTTATGTACCCGTGTTGTCCATCTGTACAATGATAACTCTTTTTAAAATTATCCGATCGACTTGATATTTTCCACACATATAGACCATCCAAATACACAACTCAAGTTCGAAGACAGTTTCGATCGGTCAAGTGGTTGGCCGGTAGGGGTCATATGGGTGTTGGGGGTCAAGGGTAACGAAAATTAAAAATTTGCGTGAAAGTTTATAATGACTAGCAATGGAAGAATATAACGTAGAATTAAATAGATTTTTATCTTGAGGTACCCTATAGGGTAAATGTTAATCCTAAGTTATTTCTCGACTCCATACTAAATTATTTCAGCTGATTATATCAATTTTAAGAAATCGGTGTGGACCACCCCCTAGTGTCCCTCTGCAAATTTTTGTTCATATTTAACTTCCTATTATTTCATGAGAAGGCAGTAAAGATCTCTGGTCCTAATTTCAGCTTTCCATGTTAATCCCTGAAAATTGGTGGGGGTCACCCCATAGGGTCCTTCCAGATGAAAATTTTCCAGATTCCAATGTATATTCTTCCATGAAGAGCGATAAGAAAACTAAATGCCAAATTTCAGAACGATATGACGATTTTGAAAAATCAGTATGGGTTAGTGGGTCACCCACCCTTCCAGATGAAAATTCTACCAATTTCATTTCATATTCTTCCTTTAGGCCCCATAAGCAACCTATCCACCAAATTTAAGTTAGATATGACGACTTTGAAAAATCGGTAGGGGTCACCCCATAGGGTCCCTCAAGATAAATTTTTCGAATTTGAGTTCATATCCTTCCTTTAGGACCCATTTACTCCTCTGCACCAAATTTGAGCTTTCTACGACAATTTCGAAATTTTGGTGCATAATTCCCAACCACCCAGATGACCCCTACGGGTCAACCAGTGGACCGATTTTGCCCATCTTCGAACTCGGTTCCTAACTTTGTCCAATATGCATCTGGTAAAAATTTCAAGTCAATCGGCCAACTCGTTCCAGAGTTGTCGAAAGACAGACGGACAGAAGGAGGAACGGACATGACAATTACATAAGCCCTGGTTCGGGCTAAAAACAAATGTCGACGTCATGAATTATGGCGAATTTGCCAGGGAACGACAAACGTCTACGTCACGAATTAAGGTAAGGTTTTCTGTGGCAACATATGTCGTCGTCACGGGTTATGGAGCGGATTTTGACGATGACATATGCCTTTGTCACGAATTATGGACAAGTCGCCAAAGCGACATATGCCACTTTCACAGATTAAATGGTTAAGGGGAATGATATTTGGTAAAATTATGTAAATTGAGCAAAGCGGGAAGGATAATTTGTAAATGAAAATTGAATTATGTTAGGCACAACGGGTGTGAAAATTCAACTTGAAAATTTGTCTGTAATTTTAAGATATTGTTTTCCTTGTAGAATAACCCTGTTTTATTTAAATAAGTGAGAAATATTATTAATTTAAATTCTGCTAATTATCCTGAGCGGAAGGGATCAATTTGAAATAGTTAAATGAGAAATATTAATTTAATTCAATTCTGTAAATTATGTTGAGTTGGAACCATACAATTATCAGTAAAATCAAGTTACGGTACTAAAAATTGAAGGCAAACATCAGTTTAAAATATTGAAACAATATTTTCCCAGTAATAACTATACTTGGAGAAATATTAATTACTCGAAATTCTCTTAATTATCACTCATAAAATATGTAAAAAAAAACTTTCCCCATAAAAGTGAAACTCGAGTAGAGAAAGACTATCGATTTGTCTCGTTTATAACTCGGTCATTAAAACGGGTCGACAAATACGAGGCAGAAACATAATCGACATTTTGGATTCTGCGAAAGTTTTGTCATTAGTGAAACAAGATGTGAAGGAACGAAGGCGCGTGTCCTTTTCCGGTTTAATTTATCCTGTGTTCAGCTTCCTTGACTTTGAAGGATCCACTTTTGTCTGTGAATTGGGGTCAGGCACGTCAAAATTTGGGAAAACTTTAAAAAAATAACCAGAAATTTTGAATTAGTTGGAAAACATAGATTTTTGTTCTCAGATTAATTTGATAAATCTCCATTTTCAAAAATAATCCTGCTTGCTCGAGATCTATAACACGAAATTGGATAAACTTGGCAAAATCGAAATAAGTTAACATCAATTTTTATTTAAAAAAAACTTTGTTTAACAAATCATTAGACAGTTGCTCCAAAATTTATTTACTAAATTTTCATTTTCGATCATCCTGAACATCCATGACATTTTTATATTAATCACTTGGCATGAGTACGCCCATTACTGTCAGAGAGGAGAAAACGTCTGATGATGCAGACGAGGAGAAAGTGTGTAAAGCAAGGAAACAAAAGTTTTACGGCTGGGCGAGTTTGTTCCCCGGCCTCCAAATTATGAGCGTCTAATGAGATCCTGCTTTTGGCTGTAGAAATGTATGCATTTGACGAGAAAATTTTCTAGGTCAAAAACCAGAGCGGGAAAAATTATACATTCGGTAACGATTTCTCAGTAAAATCTCGAACTCCCTAAAAAATAACTTTCCATCATTAAGTTTACACTGGAATATGTACACAAATTCTTCGTAGATTTTTGCCGATCTATTAACAACCATAGTTTTAAATTTTCAAATAGAATTTCTAAAGCGTCTAAGTCGTACTATCACTATGTAAAACAAGCTTCAAACTTAAATTAGAAACACGGGATAAACTATTGTTTTTAAGTGACAGAATTTATTTGGTTGCAAAAATTTACTGGGGAGATAGTGCCTTTGACCCTTGGCCATGAAGGGTGTCGAATATTGGCTTGGCCTTACTTTTGAGGTTTTTTGTCGATTGAAACTTACAGAATTTAAAAATGCCGTTTGTGTGGAATTATCAAAAAATTTGTTTCGGCCGATGAGCAACCTGTTTGGATGTACAGAAGGGTTTGGCATTTTGGTGGATACGAATTTGACCTTGAATAACCCCGGAACTGTTTGTCGTAGCGGGTCAAAATTTTGAACAGACGAGCACGTTATCCTCAAATAGTTGTGTGCAAAAATTCAACTCTCTACTTTCAAAAATGCCTCCCCCACAGCCCCCAGAAGTTGAGAGAGTCATTTTAACTTTTTCCAAACTCCGTCTCAAAAATTTGGTCTCCATAGAAAAAATTTTATTTTCAAATCTTCGAACCCAAAAAAGTCTATTTGACTTATGTCAGGGCATTTTACAGGTATTTCACTATCCGAAATGATTTTTATCCCCATTCTAGGTTCAAGGTCGTTTGCATTATCTTGAGTCAACGTTGTCGTTTTCGAAGTCGCTGAGTCATTATGAAAAATCACCTTATTTATTTTTTCACCGTGTAATTTAGGAAAATGTTATTCTAAAAGTGATTTCAAAACGCGGTCCACATCATACTTTGCAGATACGTTCACTTTTTGGGGGACTTTGATAACTGGGAGGATACCACGACCGGACATTGCACCCACAACCATAAAATGTTTGAAAAAGTTCTCCTCACTGAAAACCACCAAATTTCTTGAATTTTTTTTCGGCATTTGTCGTGTACTAAGCTCTTCGAACCCAATTAGTAACTTGTAGGGAAAATAGTTCTTCGTCAATTGTCACCAATAACGCACTCTTATTCATGAACAGAAAATTTAAATAACATTTTTTGCAAACACGGGCGAGATTTTTTCTGGAACAAGTTGAAATGACTGTCTCAGCTTCTGGGGGCTGTGGGGGAGGCATTTTTGAAAGTAGAGAGTTGAATTTTTGCACACAACTATTTGAGGATAACATGCTCGTCTGTTCAAAATTTTGAACCGTTACGACAAACCGTTCCGTGGTTATTCAAGGTCAAATTCGTATCCACCAAAGTGCCAAACCCTGTATTGATAAACATTTCTAGCATAAATTTTTAGTATGGCGTCTAACATGAACTATTGTTGTGAACTTTTGTTATATTTTCAATATTCCAAAAACTTATTTTTAAGAAGAACATTTTGTAGTATTTAAATTTTCCAGTCAATGTGAATATAAAAATTTTCTAAAAAAACTGAAAAAATTTGAGGGAATAAAAACTAGTAAAAGTCAAAATGTAATAATCTACAAAAAAAAACTCAAAATTATGATGGCATTAAAAATCCAAAATTTCCACAGAATAAATTCTCACATTGATAGAACTATTATATTTCAGAGATCCCAACCTCAACGAGCCCACTGCTCTGGGCTTATCTTCCTCCTCCCATCACAACGATCCTGACCATTACTCCCCCTCCGACGACTGGGTCGTTCTTGGACCAAATTCCCACGAGCAGAGAGACCAACGGCGCCGAATTCAGGCTCCCCAGCCGTGGGAAAGTTACGAACCCGTGGGTCAAGCTTACCTCAGTTTGGGAGCCAAGCCAAGGCTGCGGAATCATTACCGCGGTCATAAAATGGCCCTTTGGTTGAATCTGATTCCTCAAATTCATCTGCCCGGCGGGACAGACGTCACTCTCAACCATCACGCCTTCCCCGACGATAATCCAAACCTTTACATCGGTAAGTAAACGAGGTGAAAAAGGTGAAGAAGTTTTTTCTGGGAGAAAGTGGGCACAAACATGGGGAGAAAGCAGCTAAGAAATAGAATATTGAAAGATCGAAACTCTTAAAAATGTGAAAATTGGTAATAGTTTGCTGAGCTGCCGTTGGTTACGATGTTATCGAATTGATAAAAATAGGAGGTTAGGTACTGGCATAACTTTTGCCTTGAGTCAATTTTTTGTCCGTACATTTATTTTTCCACACAGATAATCTGTGACAGATTTGGAATTATTGTTTTTAACAATTTTTAACTACACAGAAGCAAAAACGCCTGTTACAAAATTCATACAGAATTAACAGATAAATTATATTTCACAGATACGTCGCCAGCTCTAAAGCGCTACAATTATTTGAGTTTCTTAAAAAAAATTATCTTTTTGACTTATTTCAAAACTGTTAAATTTCCGTAGCACGCATAGAATTGTCTACCAACTCGGTAGTGCCAAATCGGTAAAAACAAGTCGCAAAAAAATATGCCAATACGGACTCCTTTAGCAAACTAAATACAGTTATGTCGTAATTCAAGACTCTTGAAGCTTTAACTTTTTTTTACTGGATAGGTAAAACTATTTGCCACTACCCGATTGGTAATAAACTGGTTCCAAAATTTCTATGAGTGTCGCCTCCCTCGCCTTGAAAATGAAATCAAGGAATTGTCTCCCTCATCAATAAAATATTATTATTGGACCCCACTTTCCCCTCAGTGGATTGGATTGGTACTTTCTCTCATTTAAAAAAAAGTGAGTTTGACTCTGATTTTATTTTATTGCAGGTCCGGTTCGCCCATTATCTGCTTACTCGTTGGGTGAGCAGGGACAAAGCCCAGGTTTTGGAATTATGGTGGCCCAGCCGCAGCCGGGCGGACCGCAGACGGCGTCCCCAGGGGCGTCATTGACCACCACCGAATGCCTCGAGTCCACAGAATCACCTCTCTCCCAGGGCACCAGGGACAGCGTCCTGTGAGTTTTTACGAAATCCTCCCGTTTTATTAGCCCTTTTCAAAATTTTAAAAGGCTTGAATCCATGAAATGATGAGAGAGAGAGAGACCGAGGTTGAATGAGGTCAGTTTGAAAAGAGAGATTTTATCGGGAGGAGAGAAAAACCAGGGTTTCGGACGGATTGATATTAGATGGAGAAATTTTCGAACGTGATATTTTAAATTGTTGGAATTTAGATAATTTTTTAATTTGTTGTGAAAATTTTGGATGCCTGGTTTTAACCATAATAAAATTTAACGAAACCAAGCTTAATGTTCTTAGAAAAATGGTGCTTCACAAATTTTTGGAAATCTGAATCTATTCAATTATTTCAAATTTTCGGTGCATTGCTAACAGGTTTATATACCGGTCTTGGAACCAATATGCATCTTTAATTTGATATAACGATATAAAATTATCAAAAAAGACTTCAATGACGGCAAACAACTTCAAAATTAAAAAAAAATTAAATCCTCAGAAACTTTTCGTCACCTAACAAATAAGTATTAAAAATTCAGAAATTCCATTTGTTTTATCATAAAATCCGGAAATGACTATTTCAAAATTACCAAACTTATAAACAACTCCAAATCACAAAAATTACATGAAAATTTCCTAAATCTTTATACTACATTCTACTCCAGTTAATAAAAATAAGGTTGAGGTGTGCAAAATCACAAAATTTCCACTTCCTGAAACCCTACCTCACTTTCCGCACTAAATTCATGAGTGGACTTTCTCTCTTCCAAACAAGACGGAGCGATTAGATTCATTGTGTTTCAGTGTAAAATGGTAGTTTTCTCTGCACGGTGAGAGCAAAGTGCGTGGCTGGCAGTGGGCGGACGAGGACGATGGTCAACTCAAAGAGAAAGCAGCTAAAAAGAGCTGAAGGCTAAGACTCCCTCGAGATTTGGATTTACTTTGGACTCCAGTGTCCACTGGTTTGTGTGGACTTTGGAAATTTGTGTGTTTGTGTCTTTTCCATCGGATTGGGGGTCTGGCTAAAGGATGTCGCAATGATTGAAAGACCTGATAAATAATTTGGTAAAAAAATTGAAAATGGATCGTAAATTGTGAAAGTTGCATAGAATATTCGAGCATTTTTATGAAATGTTCTTACATTTTTCGGAAAGTGTTTGTTTGACCCTTTTTTACGAGCCGTGGGAATTTCTCCCTTTTTAGTTTCCCCCCCAAAAAACAACAGAAATCGAATCCACAAGTTTGGTACGTAATTGAATTGAATTATTTCAAAATTTACCAAATTTATAAATATTTGGGACCCAGTTTAGTTGATACAGATTGATCTCAAATTTGAACTTTGCGGTAAACAAGTGTACCAATTGATGATTACCAAATTGGTAAACTCCGTAGTAAATTGTTACTTGTTTATTGAAGGTTGAAAAATTATTCAGGCAACCAGCAGTACTTTCAGTAATAAATTCAGTTTTGTTACCGAATTATTTCCAGTGTAATGAAACGGCGCATTAAATTGATGACAGAAGTTCCGCACGTCCCCTGGGATGTGAAGGGACAGGAATATTATCTGTCCAACAGTTGTCATGGCGGAGAGCAGCGAGTGAAAGCAGGACGGATTTTGTGAGCCAGGCAGTTTATTTATGTCATGTTCAGACTCCAGGCGTTCTTGGTATATGGCTCATAATACATATTCAAATATGGAAAATGTACATAAAGGGAGAAAATTTTGAAATTGGAATAAATTTCATTTGAGGGATTTGCACACTCGAAATAAATTGGTATCAAAATCGTCACCGCGTGCGGTCACTATGTGGCTTACGACATTGGCTAAGATTTTTTACCACTGAAACGTAACACTGATTTTTAGAGAGATTCAAAATTGTTACCACATTTTAATAAGTCTCTAATCGGAAAGTGTCACATTTGACTTTCGCGAAAATTGTTGTTGCTGTTCGGGAGAAAATCTTTATCATCCTGGTAGTTCCACTTGTAGGGACTGACTACACGAGGTAACGATTTTGTTACCAGCTTATTTTGAGTGTGCATATTGAAGGTGAGGCAGTTTGAGGAGTGTTTAAAGGGTCAGGATCTCCTCGTCATGTTTGTAATTTTAACCTGTAGAATTGGCTAATTGTCAAAAAGTTAGGTCTTTCGTATTTCTTCTGTCCGAAGAGAAAGTTAAACTTAACATGGTATATAGGTGACTTGGGACGTGTACATATGTTTCATTTAACTCTACGAATAAATTGAAATAAAAAATTTTAAACTGCTATTATAAAGTTGAAATTGGTATCATTTTAAAGAGCTGTACCCACTGATCATTAAGTTACAAAAATTATCCCCACAATTTCGCAATTTTGATAGTTCTCACCAATTTTAAAGTTAGACTTTTGCGATTAAGAAATCAAGTGTAAAAGGAAGTAGCTGGTGGTGCCCATTCCTGCTCCTGCTGCTACTCATTCTTCCCACCCCCGGACAAATTTCTTTTTTGTGGACGGATCTGGTCGTGTGGACAAGTTTTTTACCCTAATTTGTTAGGGGGAGGTGGATTACCACACCAAGGGAGTGACCTGAGTATGATCGTCACTCTTTTCGCTTGTTGGCCCACCTCCATGCTCTTTAGAGAGCCTTTATAGGCAAGATACATATCTTCACCATTTTTTTTTTTTTCATTTGAGAACCTGAAATAACCTTGTAAATTACTCGTGTGAAACAAATCTTTACATGGACGTCTTAAAGAAGCAAATGGAGGGGATGGAGGCGAACATTCTGAAGCATCAAGAAACACTGTCGAAACAACTCTCTGACGTGGTTAAGGACCTTGGCGCTTGGCGCGAAAAAATGGAAGGAGAAATATCTTCCTTGAAAGAGGGTCAAACTACAATGGAGGCGAGGATAACCGGTGTCGAAGAAAAACTCTCACGTGAATCAATTAAGGACACGCTGCTGCAAGAAGTAAGAGAGGAGTTCGTCGAGCAAAAGCAGAGGCTAATCCGGATGTGCAATATTATTCTGATGGGAGTGCCTGAATCGACGGAAGGGTTGAATGTTGCGGCACAATTAATGAAAGTAATTGTACCTGAATGGGTGGGTCCTCTACACGACAACCGAATTGGTGACCCTGAAGGAAGAAAGCCTCGTCCTATCCGGATTAACTTATCCACAGTTCAGCAAAAAAACCAGGCATTAAAAAACTGTTCTATGTTGAAGGACAGGACCGAATTTAAGACCATCTCAGTGCGGAAAGATCTAACACGTCAAGAGCAAACGGAATGGAAGGAAAAATCTAAAGCGAGGGTTGTAAAAGGGACGGGTGCAACATCGTCTGAGCGGATGGCCACACGACTTTCAAAGCGGAAGAATGACGGTGAACTAGACTCCCAACAATCCAAGATACATCGAGTGGATGTGACAAGCATGGAAACAAACTGACTAGCAGCTAAGCGTACTATTTTAATTGGTCATCAAAATGTTCGATCTTATAACCATAAGTTTAGTAGTATTTTGCAGATTTTAAATGACTTTAACCTTGTCATTTTATGTTTAACAGAAACATGGTTTAGACCTGACAGTGAGTATTGCATTCCCACAAACTTTGTAATGTACAGAAAGGACCGATCTACTCGAGGGGGTGGAGTTGCAATATTGGTGAGAAATGATTTAAAAGTAAATGAAATATCCTTAGCTAATATTGACTGGTCAGATCCCTCTTGCTTAGAATATTTATGTTTATCGATTCAAGTGTGTAATATGAAATCTATTGTAATTGGTTGTTTCTATCGACCAGAGCATAAGAGTGCAGATTTTCCTAATCTGGATAAAGTAATGTCGTACTTAAGCAGGGGGAAAAGAAAAGTGTTCATTTTGGGTGACTTAAATGTAAACATGGCAGAAAATAGTGAAAAAGGGAATAAACTTAAATATATATTGGAGGCACATGGGTTGAAACAAATTGTAACTACTCCTACTCGGGGTGGAAATTTGCTAGATTTGATAATTGTCAAACAAACTCAATCTGTAGATATTACTGCTTGTTATGTCACTGAGCAAGCGATTTCTGACCACTGTTTATGTATAGTAAACTCAAATATAAGACCTCAACCTAACAATAAACTTGTGATGTACAGGCGTAACTTTAAACATTTCAATCGTGATGGTTTCTGCTCTAAATTTACAAAAGTTATTCAGGACGGAGTTGACCTCTCAGATTGTGATAAATTTATAAACTGTATTATTTCTTTATACGACAGTGAGGCGCCCATACAACGAACAATTTCACTGTCTAGCAGAAAACAAATAATAGTGTCCTCAGGTTCCAGGCGCTTGATAAAGCAGCGTGAATACCATTACAAGTTGTGGAAAAAGTGGGGGTCCGAGTACAACAGACATGAGTACAAATCGTTAAACCACTTTGTCGCAAAGTCGCTCAAGAATGATGTGTTAAAGAGTACAGACCGCTCAATTAAAAAGTTCGGTGTTTGGGCTACATTAAAAAATTTTGGGTTAAATTTTGGAAAAATCCAGGGAAACATTAGCGATTCTAACTTAATTAATGAGTACTATTGTAACTTAGGTTTTCCACCGGGTGTGACACCCTATGACACGTTATTATGCCAGGATTTGAAGAAGGATAACCTAGAACGTTTCTCTGTCAATAAAGTTACGTCATTTGATATGTACCGAGCGTGGAAGAGTCTGAAACACAAAGGCTCGAAATCCCCTGATCCCACCGGTATCTTTAAATATATGCTAAATAATATTTTCTCTCTCCCTATTGTAAATGAAACATTACTGTCACTAATTAACAAGTCTTTTGTATCTGGTTTAGTGCCAAATGCGTTGAAATGTTCCAAAGTAGTCCCAATTCCAAAGACAAACTGTGCAAAGGATCCCTGTAATTTAACCTATTTCAATTACCTCAAATATTCTGTCACTAATGGAAAAAATTTATAGCAATAAGTTGGAGGATTTTATCGAGAAAAATAGGACCTTGTCAAATCGGCAG